GATTTATCATAGATTGCTGTCTGTACCAGACCATGTGTAACCGTGTTTGTTATACACGCCTGGATGCAGTCGAGTTAGCTTTGAAGAACGGTGCAAACCATGATTCGTTCTATGAAGAAAGAAAATGTATTTTTTGACCCTTTCGCATCAAATTATTGCCAGTCCCTATAGCTACTCTATATATCTATATATACAAATATATAGGTGTGCGTGTATAAAGGCCCTAGAGGGTATATGTCGTGTTCTAATGCGCTCTCTTTCATCTGTTAGATATGATTAATTACCTGTTACAGGTTATGTAAAATGGAACCATCGTCGTTTCCATTCAATCATGTGAGCATGTGACTTTGTCAACGGTGATACCAAACATAAGGCTGTCGAATTACTGTCAGAATTGGCGCATGTCCCAACAGAATCGGGCGCAGTTTTGAGAGGAATAATTCTTTCATCCGTGAATTTATACTAACGTTGCCGACCTGCGATACACGCGACCGACAGTAGCAAATGTAAACCTTCTAAGCGACTGAACTTCACGAGCTGTTAGCCTTTATTTAATATATTTATGGATAGATGATCGCGCGATATGCGCTGGTGGGTTCTCAGCTTGTCGATCGTTCGTATCGCACTCTAACGAACCCAGGTGGGCGATGGATAGGAGCCCAACAATAGCACGAATGTACCGAACGGCTTTAAAGGGCTTTCGAATAGATCAATTTTAAGGACTAGTGATTGTCAAGCTGCTAGCGGGTTGTATAACGAAGCTATGTCATATCTTAATAATTCTTACTGGACTGCATCTAAGCTGACAACGGCTCCGAGTACTTTAAGATTTCCGGACGAACAATTCAAAACTTGAGCACTACAGGCTGCACTTGTTGAGAATATATCGGCAACGGAAATACCCTCTGAAACTAGTTCCGATGATGTCACCCATGATATTTTTATCCCAATTGCATCAGCCGCATTTTAGGCTCGAACATATTGTAGTGGCTCTAGATTTGTCGAATTGGTCTTGTGAGCGCTATCTTTCATTCTGACTTTTAGTCGAGATACGTGTGTTAGCCCATTTGAGCTCCGCAACGAGTCGTACCCAGTTCAAAATGAACACATAAACCCAATACCATATCTCACGTAATGTCTGCTGTAATGATGCTGTACGCAACGTCACCTTCCTTCAGACACAAAATCCTCGTCATTAAAAAAACCAGAAGACATTCCACTACATGGACTAGAGCGGCCGAACGCTTAGAAGGCCTGTTACGGATTACGGTTAAAAGACAGCATGTCCGTCACATGTAATGCAACATAGAATAGACATGGACAAGGATCTGCCGTAGAGTGTTATAATTGTTCACGATTTTTGTCTCACGTCTCAGTGTGCCTTTGGCACTGTGACACTGGCCCTTATCGTACCAACCGAATCATATACATACGTTTCTAGTTGCGTCACACAGCAGTGAACAGACGATGGGCGAACGAGATGATACATCAAAATACTATTATTACCTGCGATTACTTTCGTAATATCTGCTATTTTGCACATTAATTTACTATCTAAGGCGCTTATGTTGTGAATTTTCTAAGAAATATAGTGTTCGCCTACCTATGAAATTAACCGAATCTAGAAGATGTATACATTTCTCCCTAAATCCTGTTAATTTCAAAATCAACAAAAAGTACTGACTTTTTTTTTTATCTAAGCCTTCTATATATATCCTACCTGAGAAATTGAATTGGCGCTACTACTTCTATGAAAATCTTAGCATCTTACTATGCACTAGAAATTTGTCTGTGTAAATCCTCAACTAGCTGCTAACGGCGATAGGGTCCGTAAATGCGTAGTCGTCTGCAAGAGCCTGTAATGGCTTTGACGTTTCAAATAGACAAATCCTATTTACCACTTGGCAGACACTATAAATAAGTACATACATATAATAAGTGGTGTTTACTGTAACCTTCCTGAGACCGCGAATGGGTTCAGGAAATTGGCGCTGGCGCAGTATCGATGATGGCATCGTGGCCATAATGCACCGCTAATTTGTGACAAATCTTTAGTCTGCCATACAAATAAGTGAGACACTTAGAAGCTTGCTATAGTGTTGCCCTTGAATGAAACTTTGCTTGCTATAAGCATATTCATGACGAAAAACATAATTTCATGAAGATCTGGATAAAGCATCGTACACGACCTGCTTACCATTACGAGAATTGGTGCATCTGATCTAGACATCGGCGTACATCTCTGTTTGGCGCAGCGCCACCATGATACAGGTACATCATATCAGATACCATTTTATCGGTTTTACAGTTATGTTATGCGCCGGCATCTCGTTTGTCGGATCGAAGCGAACGTGATTGATTTTAGTCTGTGCTTCTTCGGTTCGCACTTCAGACGAATTACAGAAAAACATACACGAACATATAAGGGAAAGACACATTTCTTAATGTACGTAATTTTCTTACGAAAACTGCTAGATGAGCAGAAGACGTTCGCACATTTGGATACAGAGTTTAGAATTGAGGTTACTTTTTAAATTGTTATTTATTTGGTTTCTACTTGTTTGAGATTGGCTGTTGTGGGTCTGCGTATGCGACTACAATGGCTGTAGCTGACTAATCAGGACTTCTGAGGCCCTTTAGCCTTGTCTACTGTATTTAAGGCCTACGGATGACTTCATAAGGGAATTGAATCTTCTTTTATTCGAATGTTTATTTATTCCTTCGAATCGTTCAAATCGGAAACTACAATCAACCCTTCTACTTAATAAACGCAAATTATTGTAATAATTCGCTTGTTCTATAGATGGCCCTATACCGGGGTAGTAGACGAAAAATCGAGATAAACTATCGTTAACGAATATAACACGGAGCCCTCTCTTTGTAGCAAGCAATTATTGCCTCTAATAGTCGCTTAAGCCCGATTTAAATGCCTTGCAGAATTTTAGAATAAACACTGATGAAAAATAAGGACTATAAACGCTTCCCGTCAGGCACGTAACAGAAGCCGGCTGTGGATCTTCCCATGAGATCAATGCATACTATAATTGGGTAGCCGATGAATGGATGGGGCTTGTAAAAAGGTCAAAGCACAGCGGGACACCGTCGGACTATGTCTCACTGAATAGTTACTTTGAGTCGCAGCTGCTGGAACTATTGACGAGGAGAATCGACCAACGCGCACGGAAAACAGAAGAATAGTATGTAAACGGAGGACGCTGTATTGTTCCACGAAGAACGAACGAGAGATCGCCAGTTTTCAGTAGAACTCGATGACAATGATATCAGCTGACCTATTATACTCTAATAATGTTTAATGAAGAAGCATTGCTGGGAGGTTCATTTGGATGGTAATAGAAAAATCATATCTACACTTCCCTGAACATTGTTTAACCGTCAACAGGGCAGTGAAGCTCTGTATCCACAGGAATAAGCAGAACTTATAAACAAAAGCACATTCAATTTTATCATCATCATAGCGGGAGAGATACAATGATCTAAATGTTTTCATTCCTATCAGCGTCCATTCGACGCCCACCATTTCCTTTATTTGCCTGTATGTGTTTTCAAAGAGCCATAAACCCACACACGATAGGCGAGCATCTTCGAAAATTTTGCTTGCGTTCGCAATATTATAACAAACCCTCCAAAGGGCTGAAAAGCGTATGGATGTTTTCATTTTACTAAATTTCACCATACGACGTGGCCTCACATAGCAAACTACGCTTGCATTTTAATCGATAAGTATATACTATAGCCCTATTGTCGTACTGACAAAAAAATTAAGCTTCAATAATTTAAGTAGTAGATAAGAAAAATAAGCCTCAAGCTTCATTGGTTTAGGGTAGAGCTGCCTAAATATGCATATGAATGCTGGTACGCGCATACGAACGAACCAACGTGAAACTCGCGCAATGAATCTCGATTGGAGTAAATGGCCCATACTTGAGCTGTGTCGCCAACCGGAGGGTCCTGATGAGGTTTAGCCGTTAGTACTACGTCAGGATACATTAATCGTCTACGGATCTGATCGTCTAAGAAATGAACAAATAGGTACTGATCGGGACGTGGCAACGGATTGATGCAATGTCTTGCAAAGATCAGTGTACCATCATAATTTACGGGTAATCACAGGCTTCTTTCCGATGCAGTAATTAAGCTAATTTGGTTCAGATATAAAGCTACTGGGGGCTTACACAAGCCCCAACTTTGTTGCCTTCAACGCGGATCTTTGTTTCGAGAAGGTCTCCTTAGTTGAACGTACCCTTTTTACGCAGAAGTGGGTAAGCTATCAGACCCGTCCTGGAAAACAACATTCAACAAAATTGATAAAACTAGATTTGATTTTTTGTTTATTCGTCGAAGTTTATATGTACGTTAATCTTATGTAGCTCAACGTTACTAATAGGATTCGAGTTAAGTGCTCTAGTGAATGGTATTATTTAGACACAACAACGTAAGTGTTATCTCTAATCCTCGCTATTTTCAACAGCCACAGAATACGATAGCCACAGTTCATGATGCACAAAAGTATGTACAGTTTAAAATTAGAATAATCTACAACTAGAGTTCAGTTTTTATACTAACGATCACGAAGTTCAAGTTATTCACGTTTTTACAAGTTCCTCTTATAACGGGGCAAAAAAATTATTTTCAATAGGTGAGCCAAGAAATAGTAAACCAACAACTGTGCTTATTACCAACAAGCACTTCGAGAGTTGTTCCGGAATAGACCTATAACATAGATCGAAGTCGAAACAGCATATTTAGAATCTTTTAGCCCATAATGTCTATAAATATACCTTCTAAGTGTGATACTTCAATATGCCAAATTTCCAGTGAGCCAGTGCAATAAAGATGGTTTTTTGCATAACAAAAACAGGATCCTCACTTCGGGCTGTCCAGCTTTCCATCTCATTAGGTCCTATCCGTACTCTATGAACGAAAACATGTGAGCTGTATTGATGTTAGTCATTTCTCTTCATATTTATTTCTCTCTTCTACTTAATATACGTAACTATGCCTTCGATCGCACATCTGCCCGTATATATGCGTAATATATAAATGCTAAGGTACGTAAGAGGCATCATCAACTAACAGCGTCTGGCCCGTTCGCTGCTTATGGCCATTCGGTTTCTGATCTTTACAATGCTGTTTACCACATGGTTCATGCATGTGGATATTTCCTGCTTTTTGCACATTGGTTAGTCGTAAAGAGTATATTGTAAATGGTAATCAGTTCTCTTCGACCTGTTTTTTACGACCAGATTTATACGACGAAGCATGCTTGAATATTCAAGTGATAGATACTGCTGTGATGCTTACCAGTTTGTCTTCGTAGAAGGCATGAAGACCATCAAATGATGTTGAATCCGCATTTTCATTTCGTTAGAAACACCTTAAACATTGTCCTGAGCCCTGATCCACCTCTGATACTAGGCGTCGCTAAGATTGACAAATGCTAACATCGCCTTTGCGACAGTGAAACAAAGGCTAGAATCTAAGCGAATTTGAACACAATATATCTGACCACTTCATTTTTCCCGTTCTGTCTCTTCAATATGTAAGCTGCATTGCAAACATGTATTCTCTTCAAATAAAAAACAATTAAGTTGTTTCCTAATTGTTATACAGTTACGTAATATACCGTGTTTGGAGCTAGCCGCAGAATTATGTATTATTTTCGTTCCTTGAAGTTCGTTTTTAGAATCGTGCGTGACAAAATTAGCTGAATACGGCGCTCGTGTCGCATACGTAAAGCGCTAGATATTAAACGCGATGCATCAGACTCTTTCAAACAAATGGGGAATAGAAATAAAAATGTAGAGGTGCGCATTCTAATCATTACAGTCAGCGAGCTTTCACGTGGATCACTTTTTCCCACTGTTTATCTGTGTGTCTGTCCCGTTGTTTCTCCTGCAACGATATAATAAAGATGCAAAATAAATGTCAAGCTTGCTGCCTGTCAGTAACAATGCTTGCCAATATCGATTAATAACAGATCAAAACAGAGCCATTGGATGCAAGTTTCCGCTACAGTCGTGGCTTCACTGCGCGGTCCGGTTATATCTATTCTGTATGATCATTTGTATTCATTGTTTTTTATTTCGTGTTTTCTAGCTTTCGAATGTTACAGGGCATGTCATGAGGGCAGCGCCGTTTACAGGGCTCACCAAGCTTTCTCTTCAAAATGAATGACGTCACGGTGACATGAGAACGAAGACAAGGCAGGAACTCGTCCCCGATCTGATACCACGCAGTAATTCATATCTAGGTATAACGTATAGTATATTCACAGGCGACGTAGTGATATCATAACATGCGACTTTTTAAGCGTTATCGAACGTTCTATATAAGTTGTAACTTGGATTATAATTGAAGTCATCCCGTATATAATGTTTACTGTAGCCGTACAGGTATTTGTCAATAGTAAACCGAGTATTCTTAAAGCTGCCTTCAGTCGAAAGGTAAAATGTGACTTAATTCGAGTGCTCTTATCTTACGTTTAAATACATTTGTATGTATAAACACACACACGCACATTCTCAGACTGTTTTTCGATCTTGTGCGAAGGATAGTAACGGCGTATCTTATTTTGCTTGCAGTCTGTTTATAGAGATTTGTCTTACACAATATTACCAACCACAGATCATAATGCCTCAACAATTTTCTGTAATTGGCGCTAGAAGCTCACAGCTCTTATGCACCTGCCAACACTCATCGAAGTTGCCCGTAGGAATGGCTTAACCCATTGCTTAGATCCTGTTGAATAGTTGTTATATTGTACCTAAGCGAATTCGACGAAGCTGGATCTCGCTGCATTTTACGGGAGCTCGCGGTTGTTACCCTCGAATCGGCGTCCCGCTCCGAGAAACCTTGAGAAGCTACCGTACGCAAGACGCCACGAACGGGTCCTCGTCGATTGCGCCGAAGATGAAATACTCCATAGATGAGCGGGTTAATCAACGCCGTTGAACTGCCTAGAATATGATAAAGGACTGCAATTTAGCGGGTTAAGCCTCTACGGCTTAATGAGATGTCACCCCTAGCAGGTACGAAGAGCACTGCATTTTGCAAACACTCAAGGAAGGTTTATTATTATCATTACTACTATTATTATGACGGACGCGTGCAGAACGATTTGTACCGTTGCATCGATTACTTCGAAAACTACAAGTTACACCTACATACCGGTGAGATGAAATGGTGGATCAGTGTTCTCAAGGGTGCCTTGAGAGATTACTGTCTGACATCGCATACGCTCAGGGTCTGGCGTTAGCTAACGTGCCGGCTACCAACCTAGCACTAATGAAGGGACCGCAATTAAACCTGGCTATAGATCTTGCAGCTTGTACAACGTGTTCCAATACCATAGTTCGACAGCAGTAAACGAAATGATCATAACTAGGCAGATGACGACAACGAAAAACGCATAAAAATATAATGATTTTACACGGCATCGTTTTGCATGGGCCCGGCAACATTTGAATCGCGGCCATTTTTTTTCCAATCCTCCAGCGCTACTGCTTACTCCATTCGGGCACGGAACTGTCTAAATATAATTATAGAGATCCTGTGATATTTCTTCTTGATATTTACTGTGATAGTTATAGAAACATATGGTTTTGTCATACAATTTATTATATTCTCTTCAATGTATTGACTTTCCTGTTAAAGCCGAACGCGTTGAATGTATACGTATTTGTTCCATGATATCTGCTGAATTTTGCTAATAGGCGATATGGCAATGGGCAAGTATTCTTTTTTTTCATGATCCGCAGTGCGTTAGTTTGGCTGCCACGCTATTACTATGCCACACTTTATTTCAATTCTGTTTTCAGAGCGAATTGAAGTTGAGAAAGTTCAATTAGGCCAGCGATAGTAGATACTGTGTCAGAAAAAATAACAGCCAACGGTTTATTGCGAACTTCTTGGTAAGTTAAGATTTCATAGTTGAATGAAGTCTGTGCAGGTACAACAGGGTTGCAATACAGCCGGCTGTTATTTTTGCCTCACTCCCTTAAATATACGTACTCGAGCCTCGTAAAGGTTACGACTACTGAACTGATAAGTAGTTTTGCCGTGGACGAATTTTCAGACCAATGAGAGATTTGGTTCATCTTAAAGTAGGGCATTCTCTCTTGCTGCAATGCCCGTTTCGCCTAATTTTCGACCCCCACCCAGCAACGAGGGCTCTAGGTCCGTTATTACATCGTATAGTACCATCAAATCGAGCTGATAACGTCTTTCCCCGTGACCGTTTCGACATCTTATAATTCTTCTTTTCAAAACTTTATTGCCATTGTTTCGTCATGCTGCTATTGAACAACCGTCGTACAACAGCAGTACAGTACAATTGTTTCATCGTTGCCAGCGTTACACTGATATACCTGTTAGTTTTTTTTATTTGTTCTTAATCAAAATAGGATGGGCATTTCATCTTCCGCTGTTTCTCACCGCAATCCATCACCAATCGTGTCACCGCCGTCATAATAATCTGAGATCCTATAATTTCCGCTCGTGTTTGAAGGCGCTGTTTACTAAAATTTCAGTTTTTAAAGGCAGTATATACAGACAATGTTCTGACCACCGCTGAGCAGCGGAAAGATCTCGTACAGCCGAGTTTCCACCATGAACTACTGACTGTATATTCTCGTTTCCATTTATTTTATCCATCGACCCGGATAGGGCCAGTATATTTATTTCGACACGGTGCGGACCGCGCCTTACTCTGTTGTTATGCTGTTTCTAATGTGCACAACTTGGTTTTCTACTTAAGATTACCATCTATCGTGGATAGATGAATAACGGCTATGCCGCGTTCGTCTCGAAATTCACTTGAGCCTATGTCACGCCTTGTGTCGTCTGCTCTATTCTGGCTCGCTTTCAAGCTCTGGCGCCGTTCGAAATTCGAGTCCGTATGTTTTCGTCGCTTTTTCTCGTAATGTCTTGATGCTTATTGCATGAAATCCTTTCTCTTAGTGAAAGACCGCTTCTATAAAAAGACTGTATCCCGGATAGATTTTTCGATATTTTTTCAAATCTAACGTCGAACATGGTCTCGAAATCAGATACATGCCATGTTTTCTAGCGTTTACATACAAAAATTATATTGCTTTTAGTAGCGTATGTGTTTCACCACGTGTCGCTCGCGTAATTTCGTTCTCTCTGCTGGCTACATGGAACGTCATTTAGCTTTTGTTCGTTTTCAACCATATGTCATTGTTCTTTGTCGACAGTTGCCTGTCAGCTGAGCAGTTTCTGCCTGATCACGCGACCTTCTTTTTTGGCATTTTTGGCCAGCTTCGATTGTTCTGTTTTTTTTTTCTATACGTTTGCTTGCTTTATTCCTTAGTCCTGTCATTTAGTCCGCGCTGTTTTATACAATTTCAATTCTCAGTATCAGCTCGTCGTTCTATGTACACCCATAGGTGTACGTGCATATGTTTCTCTGGACAGCAAACGACAAAAACGTTTGCCTTATTCAGACCTGCACGGTGGGTTTACATGAGCTATTACGGCTAACATAAGTTATGTTGGTTCATTGTGGGTTAATTGATTTTGGTTGTAATACGGTATAAGCTCTGCGTGTATCGTATTAGAGGCACGTACGACCTGGGCAGGTATGTCCAATGTATCTAAATATAAGGGCTAATTATCTAATTTAAAGTAATAGCAATTAAATTGACAATAAATTAAAACTAGCTTTTGATCGCCATTCAAGTCCTCTGCTGCACCCGTCGCATTAATGATTTTTTCAGCCTGTCAATGTTGTAGAGCAGAGCTGTAAATATTCATCGTCAACATGTCACGTGCCTTTACAAACAGCTCTTTCAGATGATTCTCCATGTACTTTAATGATTTTCATCGGTTTTTTCAAATGATACAGGAGCTACACGGCTAGACCAGATGAAAATTCGTTAGATAATCAATACCTATGCTTGTTCGTCAACTTAGCTGCAGGCCTTCGTCCGCAACAGGCGACAGAAGAGCACCTTTTGTATCCGCTTGGAAGATATCGCTCCTAAAACTAAATGGTACTCTTTCCGCATCCGATAGCGTTCGCTTGTGAGGCATCGCAATTCAGAGTTGGAATTTTTATTGCTATTGCTGTTATGACGGTAATTATTTAAGCTGTTAACGGCTATTGTTTTTATAAGCGTTCTGCACCATTTAGGAGTACTTTCTGTTTGTGCTAACGAGGCAGAGACATTGGCGAAAATTTCAAACTGTATCTTCAGTGGTATGAATAGGCAACGGCACATGAGCCGATACGGTGAAAATATGCATTAATACGTTTAATAACTTGTTTATCGCAAACTATATCCCGTGTGTTAAATTCTATACTGGCAGTTAAATTTTACTAAGACACATGCGTTACTCTAAGGATATCAAATGCAGTCACTGCCGTAAATCATACGGTAAATCGAAGACTCACAGTGTTTTTGGGACGAATCGGCATACAAAGACACACGGGTCACTGATAAACAGATGCGTAGGTTGTAGGAGTGGATTGAGCCGCCGCGGGGCGAAAACAGTGACAAAAAGTTTAAAGCACGATGCGACTAAAGAATTCCAGACAAGTGCCTGTTCCCGCAAACTTTGTTTGAAGTAATACAAGGATTAATTCTGACCTAAAGGTGAAGAATATGGTATCCGAGGCTTAATAGATGAGGTTCTCACAGTACGAGACAAAATCTTAAATTTCCGAAAAAAGTATTCGTTTAATAGAATTTCAGGACCAAGATTCTTCTCTATTCGGCAACAGCTGAGCTTCGGTGTCAAGACTACTTCAGACTAAGGGCTTTTCTGTTTAAGGTGGCTTCTCATAAGCCCCTCACGCACCTTTGAACCCCTGTTAACATTGAATTAGGCACATGCAATGAAACATATGCGGTCAGCCACGCTGCTATACACCACATCGTAAAGGTTTGCGAAGGTTTGTCTGAACAGTTCTCAATAAGATTAAAGCTCCGCCATTTTACTCCAGTTAACCCATACGTTACGCCCTTATTAGTTACCAGTTAATTTTCTATGGGCTTGAAAATGACCGTTTGAAATAAATAGGCAATATCCATCTCGTCTTTTTGTTCTTACAAGTTATGTTAGATGAGTTTTCAAGGGGCCATTCAATCAGTTTCCGCTGAAATAATAACTATTGAGTTTTTCTGCGTAGACACCTTCTGACGTTTGTTGGTTTGTATGGTCGTGGGTGTGGACTTCGCAGGAACAACTTCAACCCCAGAATCGTTGCTCGTTTCTGTTCTTTAACAATCACCTGAATGTCATTTCCAGGAGTGCCATTCCTCTTCTAGATCCTGCATCGCCGTGATAGACGCCATGATCCTGTTACTCTTAAAGCCGCTATCACCACTGCCGCCGCCATCAAAATCGGATCACTGGAACTATCGGACTGAATAATTTCATCTTTTCAAAACAGATGAATCAAGAACGAGCGGGCAATTTTTAAATCTAAACCGCTGAATACGTTGACCTGGTTAAATTTTCTTGTGCGATTTAAGGAACATCAGAAATAAAAACTTAGTTAAAAATACTCGGTTGCTCCTATTACGGCCAGGATACGTCGCAAAGAAAACAACACTTAGGAGGCAGGAACCAGATTAAATCGAAGGAATGAATGATTTCAATAGAGTATCGGTGTAAAGTACTTTTAGCAGCATACGTTACGTTGCCTTAATCTTAGAACAAGCATGACAAAACGAAAGGATTTTTGCTTTTTTTTTTTTTGTAAAGTCTCATTAAAGTACAGATTTAGGTAACTAATAGAGCACCACAGCTCAGCTGGAGGATTACTTTTGTTATGAGCATAATGCATATAATTTACGGTCTAAAGCTAGCGTTTGCATGCACGCGAGCTGAATACACGAATAAAATAATGTAATAATATTATCTGGCAGTATAGCCGGCAAATCAACAAAAATGTCGTATTTGTGAAGACATTTCGTTAAAAAAGTGTTCT